CTCGAGGATTTCAGTCGCCACCGAATCCCTTGGCGACTCCCTGGAACTGTGGCGCGCAGCAGCTTCCGCTGCGATTGCCACACCACTGCGTGCTAAAATATCCAGGGCAGTGGGGGATCCCACTGCTTGAGCCCCTGTTCCGGCTCGATCTTCGGTCTCCGAAGGGGTCGACGCCGCAGTGACTCTTGTCACCTTTGCACCGCCCGCTTCTGCTGCCTGCCCTTCCGGCGCAATCTGCGCGGAAGGCGTCTTCGCTGAAGGTGTGTCCGCCGAAGGCGTCCGCACACTGGTCGCCGGCCCTGTCCGTCTCGCAGTCGGCGAATCCGGCCGACTCTCTGTTGACCGACACGCAGTCGGCCGACCAGCAGTTGTCCGACTGGGAGTCGGATACACCCTGTGCGTCTTCACTCCACTTGGCCTGCTTGCTGGTGGCGTTTTCCCAGAAGTGCCTTCCGCCGAAGACGACCTTCTGAGGGTTGTTGGCTCGTCAGCCAAACTCTCTTCTGCTTCCGGCCTGCTGTCCGGTTCAATGCGCCGTTCAGTTGGCCTTCCTTCCGCTTGTCGACCTTCAGTCGCCCGACTCGTAGTCGGCCGACTGTCAGTCCGTCCATCTCCTTCCGAAGGCATTGGTGCCTTCTGCGCAGAGGTATTTGTCGACTTCCATAGAATCTGCGCGATTATCTCCTCCTGCGTGGGATTCCGCCGGAGCGGAGTACGCCCGGTCTCCTCAGTACTAGTTGGCATTTTGCGTGCCCTCTGTTTTGATCGACTGTGAGGCTCGTGGGTGGGCCGACCACGAGTCGGCGCAGCTGGCACTTCCGGCTGCCTGTCCTCAGGTCTCTCATCCCACTTCCGCTTTCGCGGAATGCGCTCACTTCGACGTTCTTCTGCTGCTCTTGCTGGGGCCGGAGCCGGAGGCGGACTGGCAGGTTCCTCGTCCGGATCCGTGTCTACTTCGGCCTCCCGTGAGTATCTACCTGGATAGCTCTGTGTCAGCAGCGGAAACCGTGTCCGCTCTGAATTTGTCAAACATCCCATCGCCCGATAAAACACAATCAGGTAAGGCGAAAGATGATTGAGGGTTCCTCCTCTCTCTTCTTGCGCATGTTGGCGCGTCACCTTCCACAGGAGCCGTGCCCAATGCACTGGAGCTCCTGACAACACTAGCTCCACAAATTCTACCTGCCAACCATGCATGTAAGCGGTCTTGGTCGGCTGCAATATCTGCAGCAATGCAGTCGCGACATTTCTCCGCAATCGATCTTTGTAATCCAGTGTCCGGAAACCGTTCTTGGGATGCCTGGCAACTTTGAAGAGCTCATTGTAGGAGATTTCTTCCTCCTGGGACACCTTCACGCTATCGGCCTCGAAGAGGAGATCCCCTTCCTCGCCGGCACACCTGCCCAACACCTGCGCCCAGTTACAAATGTCCCATCTTTATGGATGTGGACGGAATCCGCGTGAGGGCTTGTGTCTCTCCTGCAGATACTCGCGCACCATCTCCGGACATGTTCAGTTCCACCCCCACAGGAGGAAATCGAGCTTCAGCCCCAGCAGCACATCTTGAAATGCGCGTAGACCGATCTGCGGCACCCTGAGGGGAGACACTCGCAGCTGGGGAACCTTCGACATTGCGTTTCCTGCACACACAAACGTTCTCCCTTTCGCTCGCTCTCTCACAATCGCCACTGCGCGTCGGCCGCTCAAGCACTGACTGCTCACTCTCTCTTCGCTCACGCTCAAGTTAGCTACTCGCAATTCTCTCCAAGGTCTGTCAAGATCCTTGTGCAACTCGTCTCCGTACTCTCTCCTCTCACTGCAGGTCTCTCCGCCCTTGCGCGTAATCTTGGAAGCTGGAAATCGCAAAATCAAGAATGAGAGAATGAGACTGGAGCGCAGTCTTTTCTTCTCTGAATTCAAGAACGTCCAACGTTCTTACTGGTTACAACGTACGCAGCCGGCTATACGGCCTAACGGTTCGCCCTTTGCATGCGCGAACTCACGTCTCCGCACTGCGCGCATTCGCATGCGTGAATGTTGAATTCTCCCGCCGCCGCCGCCTTCCGGACTCGAGTCCGCCGCAGGGTATACGTCGGCTATGTTGTCTTTCCCTAACCCGTCCATCACCAGAGGCGTGTCGCCGCTGGCGTGTTCCTTATCCATCGGCGCTTTGCTGGAGGCGCACATCCAGTCGGCGCGAATTACGCCGGCGCGTATTCGTACCGCTTATTTTGTCCTTTATGCCTCGTCCATTGCTGATGGCGCATATCCGCCAGCGCAAATCATGCCAGCGCATCCGGCCATCAGCGCCACGTCGGAGGTGTACATCCGACCGGCGCTTTCCTTCCATGAGCAGCCGCCAAAGGCGCTTCCGACTCTGAGTTGGTTTCCTCCCATGAGCGCGCGATTCCGCCGAAGGCGCATCGCCGAGGGCGTACGGGAGTCCTTTCCGGCTGTGAACCCTAGCGCGAACGGCGCATGTCCGGCTACGAGTTTTCCGACGCTCATAACTTCTCCGTCCCTGATCCATCTCCAACGCTCTTGGGCTCGTTAGAACGAGCGTCCCGAGCTCTTTCTAATGCGACTTCAACCAACTGGATCTACTGTGTATTCCGATCGTTATGAAGGTTTTCCCTTTCCGCGCTAGCGGCGCATCGCCGAAGGCGCACTCATGGTCGGACGCCTTCAGAGGTCCGGGCCCTTCTTCTGACGTCTTTAGCAAAACCTCCTCCTGAGGTGTTTGCGCCGGAAGCATAGCTTCCTTATACGCTGGAAGCGCGTGAGTAGAGACACCTCAGAAAAGGAGCTTTTGCCGAAGGCGCCGAAGACATTGGCGTTGGTACATCCGACTACGCGATTCTTCGTGACCTCGTGACGATCTCATCAATCCACTCTATTTAACGTACCCTTTTCTAACTACAAACACTGCTTCGGTACTAGTTTTCTAAAATTGTTTAAATTCTGCAAAAAAAAACAAAAAGTGTGTTACCACAAACTAATAGAAATTAATATATTAACAAGTATATTATTATAGTAACAAGTGTATTTAGTTGGGTCACGTTTGACTATGCACTTGTAAGTGTATAGTTTATCTTATTCTTAATCTAGCTAAAGTAACGTAGATAAATAGATTAAGTATTTAGCTAAAGTTAGAAGATTTTGTTTCTACAAAATATACAAGAATTTTTTGAAGCTATAGAAGTTAAACTAAACTACATGACAAAGAAAAAAGTTACCATAAGAAATTTTTTTGATGAAATTTTTATATAAATATATGTATAGGTTGGTTGGACAAAAGTAGATTATTCCAAAGCCTATGGGCTAAAATTTCGAGTTGTGATTTAGTTGTGGAGTTGGCCGGGTTAACCTCATATAGGAGGAGATTCACAACTATTAGGCACATCGTTCTTAGTTTATATTCAAAAAATATATTTTGAGCTTACTAAGATCCATTCTAATATTGCAACATTTGACTAAACGGTTCAAGACTTGTGTGAGTTGAAAAATTACTGTTTTTTTGAGAGGTTTTGTAGAACCTCAAATGTTAGATTGAAAAATACTTGTCTACTTTTGAGCTAGAGTGACATTAGATCTTGGGATTTTAGCTATGAATAACCTTGAAGGTATTCTAAACATTTTGTTAAAGAAGAGTGAGAGTATATTCACTTTTTGTGTCCGTGAAAAATGAAAGAGTGGGAGATGTACTCGTAGCTTACCGTGTAAGATAGTCATCTTGGAACGGCTAGAACTCCTAGACCACTTGGGCATTTTAGCTGAAATTTTTCTTCGAGGTTTTCAAACTTGTTTTCAATAAGCAAAAGGAGTATAGAGTTAGAAAAGTTCTTTATTTGAGAGGACTAAATTTAGGATTGTTTTAGGCAGAAATTGTATGATCATAGTTACTAATTGATGAATTGTATTACTTTGGCTTTTTGAAGATGATTTCTGGATTTTCTAGAAAAAAAATCCTAATCTTTCTTTGAATTATCCATTCTGAATTTGTGTTTGATTGATGGAGAATGAGACAGCACATTGGGTTCTATTACAGAGATACGTTTGCCAAGTAGAGTTAAATATTTGATTTACGTGATATGAAGTTTATTAATAATATTGATAGATTTTCCGACTTATGTTGATCGGTAATATTCATGAAGCGGTATATAATTTTATTATCAATTCTGGAAAGCCTTTAGCCAAAGTTAAACCAAATAATGTGAAAAATCTTGTTTTAGGTTAAGGTTATTTAGTGATAGCAGCCATGGAAACGGACGTGATCTTGAGCTCTTCTATTTTCCCCTTAACAACGTTATCAAAGCTATGTTGAGCTCCTCTATTTTCCCCTTAACAACGTTATCAAAGCTATGTTGTGTCATGCAACACTGCTGATGTGAGATGTAGATAGAGAATCTCATGGAGATAGAGTTTGAATTAGGTCTCAAACACGTTCGATTTTTAAGTTGAGCATTGAATAGTGCAGCTATGATGGAGAGTAGCTTATGCAAGAATATAGAATATATACTAATAGATAATAATAATATATACATACAATCATAAAATGAAAACAATCAACTCAATAATGTATTCTTTCATTTCATATTGATGACTGCCATGATATGAATAACGTTTTGATCTGAATAACGTTTTGAGAGTGTACTAAATTTTGAAACACTTATGTTGATGTATGAGAGTATGTGTATTGTGATGTTTGATGTGAGAATGAACTAATTTTTGATGCAAAATGAATGTGCATAAGACAATTCATAGGAGCTTGCTTCAACCCATAATATTCTAATCTAAATCAACAAAAAATCTCAACAACGGATAGACAACGGATACTTCCATGTAGATTTCTTTGTCCAAATTTTCATTCAAGAAGTCTAACTTCACATCTGTTAATTTGATTTTCTGGATACTCTTAAGTTTCAGAAGTTCTAAGACTAGGAATGATCACTGGACAAGTTATAATTTTGATCCACGAAACTTAACTAGATCAAAAATTTTCCACACAACTTTCAGTCTCAAAATCGAGACCAGACATTGGAATTCAAAATGTAAACAGTGATGGCCGTGGAATCTTGACCCACAATGGTTATCCGATCCAAACATCTATTAACAATTGTAAGTGATAAGAACCTGCTATTCAATGAGGATTAAGGAAAGTAAAAGGAAAAGGTCAGTGATTCCTGCTTTGAAATTCCTGCATCATTACTATAATAATCACAACCAACGAGTAAAATGAAAGCTCGATCTACTCCAGGCTTAACTATCACCATGTAACTTGTGTTTCTAAAGCTTAGTTTCATAATAACCTGCAGCATCAGGGAACATGAAATGTACGTGAGATCTTTCATAGCACAAAAGTTTTCTGTAATCACTTCAATTGCGTTGCAGTTCCGACTTTTCTATGCTAGAAGATGTTTTTTACGTCAGAGGTTTGAAAATTGTTTTCAATCATGAACTCCGGGGACAGTGATATATGATCAGTGTACATAACAGCTTTTGACCAATTGGAATCATGTGAACTACGTAAATAAAGACTTTCAAGAATTCCCTGCGCATCATAAATTGAAAGTTACTTCAGACAGGAGAATTTCTTTCGAGGATGCTCAGCGTATATACCATTGACTCTACTGAGATCAGCAAAAGGCTGCACTCTTACTGATTAGAGAGATATGGCCACAGAGAAGCCCTGAGAACAGACTGAATGAAGGGAGGCACGCTGACCTGGGCTATGGGCTCGTCGTTGTAGCAAATGGTGTAGTTGTTTGAAAAAAAATCGCGCTTCATTATGAAGTCGGGCCTGCTCATGGAAATGTTTGTTCCCAGGAAAACATCGAAAGATGTACTTAGCGGATTCATACTTGACTTCTTCATGACAAACACTGGTTGCTGGTCACCATTTGCCCTTATCGCTTCCCATATTGGGCGCCACACTCCAGGCTGATCATCAGAAGCAGCACAGCAGACAAGTTAGTCATCTATGTGAATAATACTGCTGTCGGATTTCACCTAGATCCGGTGTGTTTTGACAATCATATTGTTAACGAGAAGCAAGGTGTAGATAGCGACATCTCGCTGTCAGGATTCCTAGGTCACATTGAGCGAACATCCATAGAGCTAGATCAAGACGGCAGAGTCCTGGAGGTCCGAGGTCAATTGAGACCTAGATGAACGGGTACTCTGGTCAGACAGAGAGGGCAGGAAACCCCCTGATCTCAATTAGTTTGTCCTTGCTGCTTCATGGGTACGAGAATTGACTGACTTTCTCTAAGAAACCTTCTCTGATCTATCGCACAGTGTAAGCATCTGACGAACAAGATTTACCTTCTTAGACAGCTGGACAATGGGCCTCTCCCTGGAATCGCACACGGTATGCTTGGAGTGGAGACTGGGCCACTTGCGCTGTACTTGGAATAAGAGAGAACCCTGCGAATCTTTGGCGGTAAACCAGCAACCATTCAACTTCAGCACCTTGCACTCCACCGAGAACTCTGTCAAATGTGGAACACAATAACTCGTGCTCACAGGCGCCGGTATGTCAGGCGTGGAGGTCGCCATCGCTGCACATTCGTCCATTCTCCTTAGCCGATTGAATGGTTTGTCTGAATTTTCTATCCACTGAAGCTCAGTAAGAAAACTTGTAGATTTTCTCTGTCTGAATCTTCTATGCACTGAAGCTGCGCAGGAAAGGTCAGATGTTTTCTGTCTGTTTTTACATACACTGAAGCTCAGCAGGGAAGGTCGGATGTTTTCGCTGCCTGGGATTTCTATCCACTATAAGCTTAGCAGGAAAAATCATATAAGTTCTCTCATTCGGCTGCCTCTGTTAACCAGTCGAATCCTCTGTGTTCGTAGCCAGTTGCTACGAAGGCTTTCAGTTAAAATTTCATCGCTGGCAGAGGCGGTCAATCGATCGGTCGGGACTCCCGACCGATCGATTGGGACTCCCGACGGTCCGTCCGTCAAGAGTCTTGACGGACGGACTTGCTCTCCCGACTGGGGAGAGCAAGTCCGCCTTAAATAACAAAACTCGACACGCTGCTCTCGATCAATCATCACCCGATCAACCTTTTTTGACCCGGAAAGTGGAGACGCGGCTACGTGCTTTGGATGAGATCCATTAGAGGACGCCTTCGAGGGGAGCAGCTGTCCAGTCCACATTCCGAGAAGTAAACGTGAAGTCCAATTAAAAAGAATTGAGAACGTGCTCCAAAGGGTGACAAAATGCCTTCACGCGTCCATTTGGAAGCGGTCTGGTCAGTCCCCCGTGTCATCCCTTCCCTTCTTTTTGCGTAATCTGCCCATAAACAACTTCTCTGCTTACACCATGACGGCTCATGCCTTGCAGCCCGATCCGCTGCATCCTCGAAGAGGATGAAACGCAAATCGATGGTGCGTGTGCGGAGGGTCCAGAGAATCAGAAACTTCGATGGCTAAGGGCCCATGCGCAGTGGTAAACCCAAGGAGAAGATTGTCCAAATTGACACCAAGAGGCTAATGGACGAACGAATTGACCTTGCGCTGCAGAGGAGTAAGGTCGAAATTAGACACCCGGGAGGTTAAAAAACTGCAAATCCCACGGTGCAGCCGGAAGAAGCAAGGGTGAAGAGCCCAGTGAAGCCCAACAGGACTCCTTGATCTGAGGAGCTCCACGAGCAACCCGGAGCGAAACTGGTCTTCACTGCTGGAGAGGAACATGGCGACCTCGGTGAAGTCCCAAGCCCACAATCTATACGTACTTGCCCGTTCCTTGCTCGATACACTCTTGCCGTTTGTTTCTTATTCAAGTCGTCACCTTGTTCCCCTTCCATTTGCTCCATTTCGAGCCAATATCTTCTTCGAGCGTTCTGAAACCAGGAGCAGAGAGCTCAACCTGTTGTTATGGTTCTAGCGGCTGAGGGTTGGCCGGAATCTGGAGAGTGAGCTAGGTAGTAGATTCTATGGCGCATACTTTGAGCTCACATCTGTTTGTAAGTGATTTACTATAGATAATTTTAATTATTACAGTGGATATTCTGCATATTTATTTTATAAAATTTGAATGTAATAAAATTGTTTCGCTCTCAAATTTTATTGCTCTCACATTTTCAACGTCCGAAAGATATTGAGATTTAGTGTTTTTGACAATATTTTATGTTTCTCGTAGATCTCAGCCCTTCATGCTCGACCTATTGAACTCGACTCATACCGTCGAGCTCAAAGCTGCTTAGCTGAAAGCATCATAATGATGTCTTCGGACGCCCCAAAAATATTTAGTCAATTCCTCAGACTCCTGGACTCCGAAGGGTGTGTGAGGCATTGAGACAAGTCCTGGATTCGAAGCATACGCCTTCGCTGGCATCTTGCTCGTGTTGACCTGAAAGTGAACACAAAGATGTCATTCGTCTGCAGGTTCTGAGTGATGAGTCTGGGTACGGCGGCAGTTGTGTCGATGAGTAGTACCACCTCCAAAGTACTTTCCATGACGTACAAAGTTTATGTTCCAGGGGGTGAGTGTGCGAAATATTCACGGATCCAGGGCAGAATGTGACGAACAGCCTCAAAGATTTTGGAAGCCATGATATTCCTTTCCTTTCTTCTTCTTCGTTGACTGAGGGTTTGGTCCAAACGGCTTCAGATATGCAACGAAAGTATGAAGTAGACAAGTCTGCTATGAAACCCTGACGATAGATCCAGCTGTTGGGACCGCCTAAATCGCCGGGGACCTACTTAAGAATGAAGCTGCTTAGGCTAATGACGTCAGCTTCACTCATACGATCAGCAATCTGATGATTTCGTATTAAGAATGTGAAAGAAAGGTGGGACCATCGACACCCTGAAGCCTATATCAATTTTCGGTGTCACCAAATCCTGGATGCTTGGTTTCAGTGTCGGATTATCAGCCGAAATTTCTACAACATTCATGTGAGGGAAGAATTTCGCATATGAAGTCTTCGGTTATTGCCAAATAACTAGAAGATTGTGTGGAGAGAAATTGATGCATTTCTCAACACGCAGTTCTTGTGGCGGATATGATTTCCAGTAAATCTTTGAATTTATAGGCAATCATGTTCCTTTGCAATATAAGAACTTTGAATAACACACAGAGCGCAATTTCACAAGAAGTTTCTAGTATCGAAACTACTAAAAAGTCAAGTCTACAAATAAAAATGCAGAATAAATTTAATTCTGCAGAATAGTACATAAAATTCCAAGATACGAAATGCTTCCACGTTTCTATTCCATGAAACACGACTTTAAAAAGTGTGAATGAAGTTCAGTTAAAGTTGATAATAATGCTCTTCTGTCCAATCTTTATACCTTATACGAGGAAATTGACCTAAGCTATTCCTTTGTGCATGGAATTCTAAAGAACGGGCTCTTCGCGAATCCGCCATATTAGAATATCTTCCTGTAGAAATACAATAGAATAGATGCTCCCAAAGCACAGTGGAGATTGTTGTGACCACAAAACCTGAAGGGTGCTGAATTTCTGAGGAGATAATAACGACTTTGACTCACAAGATTGATAATCTAAGTTCTCTCCAGAAATCTTTGATTAGATTGCCACTTGTATACATTCTAATATTGTCATGATGATGATTCCATTCAATGAAAAGAATTAAAGTTGTGAATAATGTTGAAATGGATGAAAATTATGTATGTAATAGTGTTTGAACTGTTTTTTTTTTTATTTCTAGAGTTGGAGATAAAAATCTTAACTCTCTTTTGATACTAAATGAGAACATTTTACACAATCTAAACATATTATTGTTAAATTTATATATAAATATGTATAATTAATAACCAATAAAATAATAGTGTAAAATTATCTAAGTTTGAAGGAAATTGGGAAAAAAATTCAGAATTTCCATGCTCTTAAAATTACTTATTGTAATAAGTATCATTTTCATAACAATCAACTTGCTTTCATTAAATTTTCATTCATGATTGTGAAAGTATGGGATCACATGTTGAAAGTCATCAAACATGGAAAATTGAACTCTGTATACCTCAAGAGATATCAAATTTTCTTTTGAATTATCAAATTGACATAGTTCTTAATTTTCATATAAAATTATTTTCTTCATGATGCATTAACGATATCCAAGAAATGATCGTGATAAAAATCTTAAATGTATATTTTGTTTACATATATTTTGTTTAACTCAACCCATGTCTCAAATCGACTCCAATTTGATATGAATGGAAGCAGTCGTTTAGATGGGAAAGTAATATAAACACGAGGACAGTCATCGCCGTCTGCCCTCTAATTTCGTCAACGTAGAAAGTTTACAATTATCTTTCTTGTCTTGGTGTTGTAGAATATCAAAGAGATATGTCCGATGGCACTCTCAAATCTCGTTAACTTGGTAAGTTTGTGCTGAAGATTATTAGTAGTGTGGTAATGTGGTACATCTTTCACAGAAATGCGATGCTATGATGAATACAGTTTGGTAATGTTGTGATAAATAGAATCCTTTGACACACAGGTTGTAACATACGGATAGGATCTGAGGACGGGTGTTTTGAATGTCAGTGGAGTGGCAAAGAAGTCATAATAAAAATATCTCTCCTCAATTCATCTGATTAGGTCCGTGGTCAACAACCTCCAACAAAGCTACTTGTCGGCTAATCAATACTACTTTCAAGGAGAAATGTTCTCCGACCCTACTTAAAACGAATGAATGAGGACCATGAGAAATCTGGAAGATCACTACCTCCAACAAAGCTACTTGTCGGCTAATCAATACTACTTTCAAGGAGAAATGGTCTCCGACCCTACTTAAAACGAATTAATGAGGACCATGAGAATTTTGGAAGATCACTACGTTACTGTGCTGTCTGTCTAATCGTGTTGTACCTCAAAACTCTCGTCTATGCGGATTCTAATAATACATATGGTACCGGCAGATGATCTTTAATGATCGATCCACACGTATTTCATGCCACAGGTATGGTTCAACCTGATGACATAAGCTTGTCACAGAAGGACACTATATACTCTCGTTCCCAGTATTCCTGAGGTGTGAATTCATTGGGCACAACCTGACTGATGGGAAGAATCTACATTACCAAATCTCACACGATGGATCGGTCTCTGATGAAGGCCTGAATGAGATCGAGATTAGGAACTACGAAAGAATGAGTCTTGGATCGGATGGTTTGCCAGATCACAAAATCTGAGCTTTCAGTTCGGTAGAGAGTCTGATGGACTCGATGTGTGGGGGATTAGACTTCAGTCTCGGATGGTGGCACCGACGTAGCACGAGGCGAGCTGGATCTCGCAGTCCATCAGTGATGAAGAGCGGAGAGGGCCCAAGCTGCGCCTGGCGCGGGGTTTCCGTCCCACATATCGACGCAACCCAAGTCTGGATTGTCGATGCACTTGCCGGACATGTACAGCGTTTTGCCGTCGGGGCCGCCGAATTCTACATTGGTGGTCTCGTACAGCCCAGGAAGCTTGATCCGCAGCAGTAGCTCGCCGGTGGGGGAGATTTTCACAGTCTCGCCATTCATGCCGTTCTTGGTGACGAACAGGTTGCCGTGGACATCGCAGCGCATGCCATCGAGGTCAACGTGGCCCGAGCCATCGAGCTTCTGGAAATCGACCAGAAGAGTTTTGTTGTCGACGAGGCCTGTCTTCTGGTCGATGTCGAATTTCCAGATGAAGTTCGAATAGGGCTCGCCGAACTTGTGGAAGGACTCGGTCAGATACAGCGTCTTCTCGTCGGGAGACACCTCGATTCCGTTCGTGAGACCGAAGAGTCCCAGCAGCTTGGCCTCCACAGGCTCCAGATCAAGTTCCCTCGACGTGTTGGTGAAGGAAGATCTGCCCTCGCACATCCACAGATCTCCGTGCCCCACGACGGTGTTCACATTGGAATACGCCCCGCCGGTCATGTAAATTCTCCCGCTCTTCACAGCCACGGCGATGTCGTTCGGCTGGATCATGCTCGAGTTCTGACAGAACGGGCTGCCTCGAGTTCTGCCGTCTCGTTTGGACCTGAGGAACTGAACCACGCTATGCGACTTCACGTCCGCCGCCAGAGCGCGGAGGTCGAAATTCGTTGACAGGGAAGGCGAGAGTGGTAGGAATCTGAGCCCATTGAACGACGAACTGGCCGTCTGGTCCTTGACCAGCAGGTTTTGTTCGAGCTGGGCTCGAGCATTTGCAACCGAGCCGATGCCCGATGTTCCGTCTCCCGCAAAGCCAACTGCATAGACATTGCCCACCTGGTCCACGGCCATACCTTCTATCCCCAACCCAAACCTGGATACGCTGGAGGTGATGAACTTTTTGGCTACCACCGTTCTGACTATGCCTGCTTGCGCATCCGTAGCTCTTACTGCAAAGCACATCAGCAGCATCACGGACAGAGCCGTCATCTTCATCGATCCGCCCATTGTGACAGTAGTATCTGCTGTAAGCTCTAATCTGTCAAAAATCGTTAAGTTCTAATAAATTTCCGTGCGATGCTGAGCGGATTCGGTCTCGACTGTCAGCAGTGCGCTTTCTACTATCTGTTTTTTCGCCTGGAAGAAGAAAGAAGAGAGTGCTGAACTTTGTGAGACAGTGATCGTTGTGAGAGGAGTGCAAACCTTTGTATCTGCTTCTCTGAGGAGATCTCTGTCCTATAAGTACGTGATGAAATGGATACTACAGGGAAGACTCTGGGAACAAGTCAGTACAAGATTTCGTGCAGTGAATTCATAGTTCACTCCTGGCTGGCTGGCTAGCGAGGTGTTGAAATCAGAGTGAGGCCCTACAAAATTAGTTGAAAGATATGATTGTGTACATACTACGATACGACGATCAAGTCGGCCATCCCCGCTGTTGATTGTTGACATAGCATGGCATTCTTACCGGGCAGAGCTTCTTCGGGAGCGCAAAAGCGAGAAGCAAAAAGCTCGGGCAGCATCAGTTCACTCTTATGAACTGTGCAGTAAACGACGAGGGACTCTCTTAAGCTGCAGTGTATGCGTCATGGGTGTCACTTTTCATTTGCAAGTCCATGTGGCAAGTAGTGGATCATGTCGATGGAACGGGGATCATGATTCATTCCAGATAATTCCAGTAGTTGTAGCACCATCCTGGAGCAGCGCGCACTGTTTACAGCGCACTGAAAGAAGATCTACCCTTCAGGATCTCCTCCAGTTACGCCAAGGGGTTTAGCCGCGAGTTGGCTGCACTTTGCACTACTACCATCTTGTCATGAAGTCTGATGAATCTTCAGGTGACTTTCTCAACGTGACGAGTTTTTATAGTCAACTGTGGAATAATTCAAACCATTCAGAACTCGGCCTTGAAACATTACACGGTTTCACAGGATGAATACCAATACAGAAGCGATTGGTCGAAAGTGCCAACACAACACACTTTTGCGTTCGTAGGGCTTTTGACAAAAATGCACTTCGCATAATTCGTTACATATGTGTCGGGTAGGTCCCGAGTGGTTCTGAATGCCCCTTCTGCAAGTCTTCTTGTTTTATCCTTAACAATCACTGGTAAGTATGGTCCATCAGGGTCCAGTGGTACAAGTAAGTACATATTCGAGCCCGATTGATTTATCTTCATGACCGGACGGTGCATGCATTAGTGCAGTTCTGCCCATTCTGGCCGAGCATGTGAACCTCAGGGTTGAGCCTCAAGGTATTAACTTTGAAAAATAGATCTGGCTGGGATTTTCGATAAATTTTACAAGGAAATGGTAGATCCGTTTTCCGAGCAGATAAAAAATAGCCGTGTTTGCATGTCACGACATAAACCTAGGACTGAACCAGTACAGTCAGCGGTTTAGCCTTTCCTGGGAAGAAAAGAATGAAGTGGATAAGAAATTGACTTGCAAGACCCAACGAATCGCTACAGGAAAAAACGGTAAACAAAAAGGTGCTAGGCTACGATATGTCCTGGGAACTCGTTAGATCGTTGCACACAACTAGATCTTGTACGTGCTTTCATTCGTGCCTTGACTCGGCCTGGAAGCTCATAAAGGAAGCCAGACTTCATGACGTGAGCGCGTCTTTCACATTTGTGTGTGTCTGAAAGTCTACGTGCACGTGTTCAACATATATATTCACTTTCCAGTCTTACGCTTTAGTGACGTCTGTCTGTACCTTCGAAAATTCGTGGACACCACGGATGAGCCCCGACGGCTAACATGGGGTAACCTTCCAAACAGATCAAGGCTCATCGGAGTCCCTTGTACGAGCACGACCGGATCTGCAGCTTTTACGGCACAGGACAAAGAAACTTTGTGGAATGTATTTGCGAGGAGGTCGTTAGTTTCGGGCATTCTTCTGCTAGTGAGCTATACTTTAATCGATACAAATAATGATCGAACGCATAAGTTTTGTTCTTGCATGCACATTTGGTCGCCATGGATACACTAGATTGCTGTAGATCACACGCACTACCATGAAACCGATTGATAGTTATATACGACAGAAGCTATTCGTGAAAGTTACAGCTGGTTACTGTTTTTGACTTGACACTGAGACGCTTGTGTGATCATAACAGCTTTTTGTTCACTAAGCCCCTCGGTGCTAACTCACTTGTAAACCTCTCAAGTAAACCAAAACGAGTACAGCACTCTCTTATCTTACATCGACGACAGGAAGAAGCAAAATTTAGTTTCGTATAGTTTACAATGGATGCTATTGCAACTACTTGGAGTACCAAAATGTAAATATAATAATTTATCACTTCATAGTTGACCTGGTATGTCACTTGTACTTAGGGTGGAGTTCTAGTATTGCCATATTAAAGTGACCACTTTGAAACAGGATGTAATTTTGGCATCTAACTCAAGGAGAAGTTAACGAGGTGAATTTTGAGAATTTGTAATTGGCACTTTGAAATGTAGTCAACAGTTGAAGAAGACATCATATTGAGCAACTAAAAGAAAGATCACAATCAGTTGGTAGACTGAAGATAAATTACGAACCCTTATTGTAGATTATTACTATGTATAATCGATGCAAAGATATTTTCTTAATCTTCAAGCACAAAGCTTAGTTTACAAGTGTGAAGTATGATTGTTACAAATAACTAACCACATTTACATAACATAATAAGGATATTACTTCATTCACGCGTGTATATTGATGTTCATACCATGTGTACTGTGGTAACCCACTTTTTGTTTTTCATCGGAACTAAAACATTTTTGAATAGTAAATACCGCGGTAGCAGCTGTAAACAGTAATCGGTACGCAAAACCAGAGTAAAAAGAGGATCAAGTACAGTCAAGGGGTTTTGGGCTTAGGCCACAATGGAACGCTTGGGACGGAGCGGGCGGTTCATGCTGCAGGACCCGTTTCGAGCACCTTCGGCGGTAGATAACTCATTTGTACTTTTTCAATTCGTAACGCCTTGAATTACTTTGGGTCTTGTTGGAAAGAGCTCAACGCGCTGGTTCTAACAAGCCCAAGAACTTGTGAAACGGATGAGAGGTCATTGAGTTATGAATGTAGGAAGTTACTAATGTGCGCCTTCGGCGGTAGAGCAACTTCGGCGGTACGCCTTCGGCAGAAGAGTGAATCCTTTATAACATTTTCAATTCATAACGCCTTGACTGGGTTAGGGTTTCGTTGGAAAGGGCTCGACACGCTCGTTCTAACGAGCCCAAGAACGCCTGGAACGGATGAGGACTCAAGGAGTTGTGACTGTCAGAAGATGCGAATGAGAACGCCTACGGATAAGTGGAAGGAGTTCGTCGTCGGCGGGAAGTCCGCCGGGAAATCCGCTTTCGGCGGAATGAATTCTTCTGCGCGTAGGCACTTCGCCATCGGCGGAATATTCGCCTTCGGGGGTGCAGCTTCGGGGATATGCCTTCGGCGATGCGGGAGAGTGCATTCGGCGGAAGAGTGAATCCCTTATAACTTTCTCAATTCGTAACGCCTTGACTTGATTATGGTCTCGTTGGAAAGAGCTCGACGCGCTGGTTCTAACGAACCCAAGAACTCTTGCGACGGATAAGAGATCAATGATTTATGAGTGTGGGAAGTTACTGGTAGCGAGCCGACGGGGAACGCCGGCTCGCTACTCGCAACTCGCTACTCGCTACTCGCCTGCGGATAGGAGAACGCCTACGGATAGGAGAGACTCGCCTTCGGGGCAAGGGCCTTCGGCGGTACGCCTTCGGCGCCACGTGGCAGAAGATTCCCGATGACGGAAGTTGGCGGGATTATGTCAAGTGTGGGAAGCAGAACGGCGGGGCGTGAAGTCGCACGTGAGCAGGCCGTTACCCATAATCGCGGGAACGGCATTCAAGCGGCATGTGGGTCCCCCGGACCTCGGATTTTGAAGAAGGAATGTCGGCCTGGGTTCAGAGATCTTGCGGGGCCCATATCTTTGCGATGGACGGTCGGATGGATCTGAAATTTGGTGGGGCCGTTGGTCTCAGCTGGCCACGCATGCCTGCAAATTTTCAGCCTCCGATCTTGGATGTAAAGACGCTGGCGGCTTTGTACAGTAGGCTTAGGATTTAGATTTAGGGTTAGGGTTAGATTTAGGTTGTAAGTTAGAGGGGAAGGCAGCCGCCGACTCCTCAGGTGTAGGATCTGTTGCGGCTCGCATCATAGCATGTAATGTAGTGTTAGTTAGGACTTAGAAGGTATAAAGTAGTTCAAGGCGTCTTGCCTTGGGATTCTTCCAGTTTCGGAAGTGTAGATCAGGAACTCATTTTCTCTGCGTGTTCGTGTCCTTAGTTCTGTCACCACGCAAGAGGAGCTACAACTTGGCGATCCGTATTTTGTAGCTGAAGGCCTTCGGCCGGATGTTCAGAGCTAGTACCCTGGTTAGAGACTTGAGTAGTTCGGATCTACACCTGCGGGTGATTGCCGATGCTCAGAGCCAGTTACTAGTTAGATACTTGAACAGTCCCCCTTACACTTTCGAGTGATTGTTCCTGATTGTACTCCTTCGGGATTTTTCCCCTGAATGCCAAAGTGAAGTTTTGCTACTTCGAGTAAGCCTTGGTTGTAATTTAGGTTACGCTGCAACAGGTGCCTTCATGGTAACCCCTGTAGTATTTCTGGGAATGACAAGTGTCTAAGAATTCAAACTCTTCAATAGACTGTTATGGTGTGCTGCTGGATTGTTTCTTAGTTGAGTCTCTCAGTTCGGACCTGTGTTCTCTGCGCGTTTTGTGAGTTGAGTGTGTTGTTCACCGCGTGTGAGTGACTTCGATCCGAAGTAGGAAGTCCAATCCGGATTCCCTGTGCTAGCAGAAACTAGTCAAAGGGTTGTAAAAGCCGGAGTTGGGAGTCACTACCCGCAGATTCGCTGAGTGTACTTGCGAGAGACTTTCCCCCTGAAATATTAAGTAGAGGTCCTAACCGACCTCTGAGTTGTGTTTCTATAGTTTCAGGTGTGTGTGTGTTGAGTGAACTACGCTGCACTGTGCGACCTCCGAGTGAACACTTGCACTATTTCTGGGAGTGACAGTCGCCTGAGAATTCAAACTCTTCAATAGTCTGTTAAATGTGACACTTTGTACTCTGTGTGTTGCCTCTGTCCCTGTGGGTTCAACCTTTCTACCACTATATTGCAGTTTTAGCCTTTGGTGGGTTATTACATGTACATAGAAATAGCTTGTAGTATAGCTTACAAAATCTACTATTATTAGCCATTTATATCCTACTATTAGCCACCAAAACTTCCATATGATCTATCATTAGGATAAAAGAAGTAGAATATAAACTGTATATTATAAAGTATATCATTATCACTTGATATGTTAGATTTTTGAAAATCTGATTACAAGATAAAGAGTACAAATAAGAACAAATGGATGTGAATATGTTATCATGTTTGTAGTAATGATTCTTCTCAATCGTGATAATAGTATCACGATTGAAATTGTTCTTTTTGTATTCAAAACATCTAAACCATCTAGATTAACTGATCTTTAGATAACAATTTCAATCATAAGAACTGACGCAACACATTCTATGTAAAAAATTAGTCTATGTTTCTTATAACAGAACTGAACTTTCTATATTTTAAAAAATATTTGATTAACATAGCACATAAAATAAATATTTAGGATAATTAACATGAAAATTATTTATGAATTCAATCAAAATCATTTATACATAAAAATAATCATAAAATTCAAACTTGATAATCTTAAAATTATAAATTTACAATCAAATCTAATCGAACATAGAGCTGAATATTTTAAATGCTTAATAAATTATTTTTAGTTTTCTTGATTTTTCAGAAAAATTTGAGGGTATAAAATAACTCTTTTTGTTGACATTCATCGAACTTAAGTTATTTCAGTAGAATTTTTGTTGATAAGCATGTGTATTAATTCATGATATATAAGTTTATACTCCTATACGTTTTGAAGATCAATACTATGTGACTTGCTACATATTAGCATCTTAGGCACTAATTTCTACACCTATTCGTGTAGAAAAACGATTGTAGCCAATCAAAAAGAAGGTTTCATGGGAGGGAATGGAGACATGGCAGGTTCTTCAAGATTCGTTATTTAGTATATTATGTTTTGTACCTATCAAACCAATTTCAAGGATTGTTTTAAGACATCCCTAACACAAAAAGACACTCTACAAGTAAAGCCCTGTCTTTGCAACTTATCAATTATAAAGCGTCCTTTTATTTATTTATAGAATTCATTCTCTCTTATTTTTTGGTTCCCCAGTATCAGATAAAATCAGAAGTGAACCAGGTCACGAAATATTTTTAGTGCCTCATCATGCATGCGGAAATGCTCTTGTTTATATTTTTGTGGGTGCGTTATATATTAATCAGGTGTGGCGTGAAAGTGGGCCACATACCGGGTGAATGCAATGTGACCGGGCAAACCGGGAACGACATGAAACCTGAGCTCGTGTCGCGGAGGAAGGAAATCGAGCTCGAACTTGGAAACGGTGCGTGCGTGCAATGGCTGCCTCTGTTTTGCCGCACCTCGTGTCTGTCGCAGCCACTGGAGTCCAACCTTGTGGCCCACGAAGGTGCGTGCATTTTCATCAGGCGGCTTGCCAGCGGAGTGATCTGTTGACTAATTTCTTTCCGTGACTCGTTCGCATTTTTGGTTCGCTCTCGGATTCGAGCAGATTGGAGCCAGTTAGTCATACATACGTCTGTGTTCAGCTCAAATTGAACGCGTGAAGTCACGCTTTAATCTTTAGATTCATCGCATGTTACAACTCGCAAATTCCCTCGACTCTCAGTGTAGCACATAGACCGTCGCACGTCTCACGAAGGACACGTTTGTGTGGACAATAGAGGGCGGAATATCCAGTACCCCTGTTGATATTTCGGAAAGGATGCTCTACGTGCCTGCAGCTGTCGTCTTCTTGGCTGTAACTTAAGCCTGAAACATCCTTTCAAGTTTTTAAAATAATCGAAAATTTCTCAAGGCACTTTCTGCTTCCGTTTGTTGAAATGTGGAACGAAAGTTCGTGCGTAACTTCAGCGTAACGTGATCAATTTCGCAGGTTTGCCGTGTTGGGAGCAGGTTTTGCTGGAGTGTCAGTAGCTTGGCATCTACTGCAGGTCTGATCTGTCTGTACAACCTCTGCTTCAATTTCTGTTGTGTTCTTCCCGTTGTCGTATTTTATGGTCGTTCCTCCTGTTTAACTGCCCCTCAAGCTCGAAGCAATTCACTTAAGTTTGTCCTCTTCTGTGGATTCAGCACACGAGCTCCTCAGCACCAGTATGTGTAGAACTCTTCGATGACGCAGGGGTCGGTGGGGGAGCATCTGGAGCCTCGGGAGGCCTTTTGCATCCGTATAATCCAAAAGGTTTCTAGCTTGTCTCATTAGTGTTCGGTATGTTTGTTGTACCTTTTCTCCGATCTATGTCGGATTCTTCGGACGTGAGATTTCCAATCGAGGTTTAGGCACTTAGGTAGTGATTTCCAATCAAGGTTCAGGTATACCGAACCTTAAGTTTAACTATCGATTACGATTCAGTTAGGATGACTATGCTGAATATAATCGTAACTGAACCGCGACATTGAGATCATTACCGGAAGGACTGAATGATTAAAGATGATCTCATGAAATCACTACCTACGTGCATGAGCTTCAAACCATGCTCCTGCTTTCTCTTCGTCCGAAGAATCACGTATTATTTCTGTGCAGTTTATCACGTACCTAGAAGCTGTCCTTGTCACATGTCCTGAGATTGGAAACCTCACCTCCAGAGGTACATGACCATGCAGTTGGTGAACTAACCTAGGAAAGCTGTACTTGGTAAACAGGGAAGTTGTTATGGAAGGGTGCCGAGGGCTGGACTGCTGCATTGAAATTATTGTCCATAGCAGAAGCGGCATCTACCAATGGCCTCACAGTCGATGGGTTGAGTTCAGTCGCAGCACCTCTAGCCTGGAGAAGGTTTTGTTCTACATTCCTTCTTCGTTTTCGCCTCTCTTCATTAGAATTTATCGGACTCTCACCAAAGGTTTCGTTTGGTCAAGATTTTTAGCATGTGTGGCAGAGGATTTTTAGGCACATAATCGTCTGTGGCCTAAGAATCTGTGGGCAATTTGAAATGGCAGGACCTGAATTTATAGGACACCTCTTTCCTCGGGGCGATTTGCAATCTATTTATGTATACAGATTTTAAGGGGCTTGTTCTCGGGGCTTGTCCTTCTGTATGATTGCTTGAGTTTAATCTTGAAAGTATGCTTGCAGAGGAATATTGAGGCTGGCTAAGCAGCAAAAGCACGCAGTTACGTTCCAGAAGGTACGACGTTGTCGTTATATCATGCACTTCGGAATATCATTTTCTGGATTGTGATTTCAGTCTTGGACGTACTTGTTATTTCTGACGAAGAAATGAGAGCATATTGCTCATTTTGCTCTGCAAAAACGAGTTGTGTGATTGTTCTGAGATATGATTCACTTTGCTAGTGGCGTGCAGAACGTGAACAGCGTTGAAAATGACAAGTCAAAAGTTGCATGTTTGGGTGCTCCAGCAGCCAGGGAACTTGTTCCTGGGCTTGAACTACCACTCGATGGGCTTGCTCTGTACATACCTGAAGCTATCAACATCCATCCTCAACGCTATCTTGAGGTTGGTGGATGAGACGTTTTACTTTCTGTCGTGGGTCGCGAGGTTAGTCGAGGATCTGAAAGTCATTCCGACTGAGTATGTACGACACGTTTGATTTGCAGGCTCTGTGGATGGCATGTGAGTCATTCGCGAAGAAATCTTCAACAACTGGCTGTCCTGGTACACAAGCACTCTTTCGGAACAACAATGTTGCCTCCCTCAGCGATTTAAAAGGTGGTTTCTTCACCTTGTTCTTGAAGAAAGCATTCTCCTAATTAGCCTTCAGGTCCAACTCCACCTCAGCAGGTGGAAATTATGACAAATTCAACGATAACTCTAGTGAAGCTACATTCCTTTCAATGAACACATTAGACTTGGCTTGAAAACATTCATCACTGCTTAGTAAGGAGCTACCATTTGCAACGTCATCTTCCACCGTCGTCTTATCACTGTCGACTGTCTTGGGAGCGTAAGAGTCTTGTAAGCACGTCTGACAGGACCCTTAATCTTTGATCAGGATCTTACGAAGCAGTCATTGTCTGCATGGGTGCTCAAGCCAAACTACTTCCCGAGCTTGTGGACAAATTGCCACTAACTACATGCCGAGGTGTAGTTGCACAACTACATGCGCCACCTGGTTCAAGGTACGGTACAGTCTGGACATGGTCAGAAGCAAATTTGTCCGCAGATTCATAAGTAGATCCCTCTCTTTCACGAGCAATCTTATCCTTTTCATGGCATATATGGTCTGTTTATCCCGTTGACTGCGATGCAAACTGAGATTACACCTTCGCTTCTTCCTGGAAGTTGAAGTCTCACCGACTATTAAATGGACGAGGTGTCAAGTTACTTATTCCTTTCCAAATGGATCATTCCAGAGATGAGTATGCTTCCCAGGCACCCAATCTGCTGTTCGGGACATGGCTCGCAGCGCAAGGAGGAAGAAATCTGTTGTTGGGTGCAACCAAGGACTGGGGTTCCTTGAACGGTTCACCGATTGTAGATGAAGAAGAGGCCTCTTCCGCACTGGAGAAACTTTTGATTGAAACTGCACCCTTTTTTCCTTCTATTGTGAACTGGGAGGTCAAAGGCTGGCAGGCTGGTTTGCGAGCCATGCCACCTCGTACTTCGTTAGGATCCTTGCCTCTAGCAGGTTGTATAGATGAACTAGTTCAGAGCTCTCATTCAAAAGTATATTTAGGGTCTTCAGTTCAGAGTAGTGTGAGTACTGCCTCAACCAAGTGGTGGATGTTCGGAGGTCTTGGATCTCGAGGCCTTATTCACCATGCCTGGTTGGGTGAGCTGGTGGCTAAAGCTGTTATTGACTGTAATGCATCTGTGCTACCACAAATATTAAAACAGTGGTAATTCTTCATTTCACCCAGTCCATTCCTCGGTGTTCATCTACGTAGGATTGAAATCACTGACTGCAAAATCCATCATTGTGGGGAATCTTCGTCCCCCTCAGAGTTTGAAGCCCGGGCTAGCTGTCTTTTTATGATAAAAAATATACGTCCTTGACTTAGCCTAAACCTCTGAACCCTAAACCCTCAGCGCTTCATTCTGACCTCTCATACTCACCTTGACTCACCTTGACCTTGACCTCTCACTTGACCCCTCGCTGGTCACTAGTTCATATTAAGGAGATAGCTATGAGAAAACAGAGAGTGCTTTTCCACACAATTAACACATAAAGCTTACAGGCATGGAGTAAGTGAGAGAAGGATTATGAAAATCTCAATGAGAGTGAATGTGAAAGAGGCCGCGGAACTAATCGACGTCGTGGTGAATATGGCTATGATCGCGATGAAAGATGTGAATACGGGAATTGTGATGTTGAGATCACGACAATTACAATGACCATGTCAACAAAACAAATAAATAACAATGATCATAAGGGAGGAAATTGCGTATAAAATGTTGGTGGTTGAGGAGACATGGGCTTTGGTGTTTTAGATGATATGACATCTCATGAAGACATTTGCAAAAATTGATCATGTGGAGGCAGACGGTGAGGAGGTTTAGACCATCGTGACTATAGAAGAAACAATGAAAGTCGTCGAGGACACCGCGAGCACAATTGTCACAATGGATTTGGCAGTGGTAATATGATAAGTGAGATGATTTCTTGTCAAACAAATTGGAATATTGATGTTGATTAGGATGTCATGCAAAAGATTCGTGGAGTTTGTTTGAGAAAGAAAAGAGAAAAGTAAGTACTTTTGGAGAAGAGAAGAAAACTAACGGCGAGAACGATATTGATGTTGCAGTCACTAAGTACGGCAAATTAAGAAGAAGAGGAAAACAAAAAAATAACTGTGGACAGATATGAAATGATTTTCGAGGAGAAGTCCAAATCTCTTCTTGCAAGCCAAGCGGATAAAGAAAAGTAAAATTTCACAAGGCTTTTGAGAATGGTCAACATAAACTCAACTAAAGAAAAAATATTTATTAAATTGGACGCCAACAAGGAAAAAAAAACCTTAAAGAAGGAAGAAAAAATTGAAAAAGTCTATGAATTTTTCAAACCTGGAGAGAGAAAAATTTAGCTTAAGGATTTAGCAGAACTCATGAAGTGGACGTGATCGTGCGTTGGCAACCACGGAAGTCCGGATCTGGAAGTTTGACCGCGCGTTGGGAACAGCAAGTGCCCAGATACGAGCGCTAAAGCTCGTCGACCGCAACTGGAACACCGTCCTAAGCTTTTAGAAAGGGGATCTTAGGTCGGAGCTCTGGGAGGAAAAGATCGGCATCGAGGAGCCTTTTTTGACAACAAGACGATCAGCAGAGTCACAACTCAAGAAGTTAGGGACGTGGAAAAGTACAAGGACATAACCGACAATGGAGTGATCATGTTGACTTCAAAATCTACAAGACCAACAAGGAGTGTCTGTTGTGGCTAGATGAGTCGTCCGACGGAATCATCTAGTACCAAAATGACGACGAACATCAACTCTCCCTTGATCAAGGGTTGGGCATTCTGGAAAAGGCGGTTCCTCTTGGAACTTGATGTCGGCCTACTATATGCCGCAAGCACAAGCTAAACTGGAAATCCACAACTGATAGATTATCAATTTTTATGTTTGGATAGTGAATGAGAGTGTTATTTCTTTTATCATTTGCGATCCCAAATACTAGTGATGTTTTGCATTAGCATAATGTCAAAAATGTGGTGAAAGCACATTGTGTCTGCACCCTTTTTACTCAAAAAATCTTGAATATATTGTTATCACCCAAATAAATATACCAATAAATGATCGATTTCAAGAAAAATAAAAAAACCAAATTAAATAAATAAAATCTGAGAATTTGTATCTTGTGTTGAAAACTAAGAACTACATCAATCAGTTCAACTAGGTTGTTGGGTCTCGGCGGATGCATGGAAATTTTTTAGACTACCTATCAATTAGACTGATCGATTACAATCAAGTAAAACGTATTACACGTGAATAAAGTTGTAATATGACAAAGCTTATTGTCGCACTTTATTGGAAGTACAAAACATGTATGCAAGAAATAAATATGGCTAATTGATACATGTTTAAGCTTTTTGATCCAATTGTTATTTAAAAGTTGATGATTGTTTGCTTTAATGAAGATGGTTGGAGTATCACAAATAATTTGAATAAATAACAGTTTTAAAATTTTTGTTGAGACTTATCATGATGAATTAATGATCATAATAATTCCACTTTCCTTGTTTTTGAGAAACAATGGACCGATGATGAATCAGCTTTTCTGTGTTGCACAAGTATGATGTAGATAATTGTCATGAGTGAGAATACTGATTATAGCACTAAGTTATATGTGAGACTCAGGAATGGCAAGGATGATAAACGCATTGGATTCAAAGTTAGATACAAGTCCAAGGATAAAATTTTTTTTAAATGATGTTATGTTGAAAATGTGACGAAAGTGATCACATCAAGAAGGATTGTAGCGTGAAGATCAAATGTGTAATACTCCAATAGCTAACGTGGATCAACAATTTGATGTCAAAAAAATTTTCCTATACAATTTAAAGACTTATTAGATGATTAATTATGATGCTACAAGTAGGATTTATACAATTCATCAAAAGATGTTAATGATACAAAAAATCTACATAGTGTTTGTTCTTATCACATTTATTGCATTAGAGTATTTTTTGGTAATTTTTTTAATTGTGATCTCTGTATTGATTATCATTTAGTTATGATTCATATGATTTTGTGTAAGTTCATTATTATTCTAGAAGTTAAAGATTCTAGCGTGTACATGTTTCAAATACACTTTTACACAAATTATACACTTATCATTCTATTGCAAACACTCATAGATACTTAAAAAAAAAAAGTAATTCAACTTATATTGATGAAACAAGTTCTCACATAATTAAATTTTCAAACTTGCTCGAGTGTCTTTATCTCTCTACTTATACTTCTTGAAACGTTAACATAGTAACACATGATTATTATTACTAATTTATTTTTACTAGGATAAATCATGATAGTTTTGACTAATTCTCAATACGTGGCAATATGCTATTAATCACCTAAATCTCCTAGAAAATTACTAATCCATAGATGAAAATCTTGACATGCCATTTGAGATTTTCAAAGTTCTAGATACTTCACTTGCCGCTAAGTGAACTTTAGAGTTAATCTAACCAATGAAATTTTCATTACTTAATTCAATCTATCAAAATTAACATGTGATCAATATCTTCATTTTTTTAGAATCTAGACTTTGATAAAAAATCAAATAGAAATGCTTACTCAAATATTCTAAGATGTTATAATTATCTTGCCAAGTATAAACATAGTCATAACAAGCTAAATCTAGTCATAACTAGCTAGACTTGATTATTACTAAAGTATCCATAATCAACTTCTTCGCTAATTCTACTTTTACTTCACACATATAACAACCAATTTTACAATACATGTAATTTAAATTTTGACTATCTATATTTTGATGCCAACTTTGCCAAAATTAAGATAGACAACATGCCATATTAATTTATATTGGCAGAAACATTTGTGTATGTTATCTTGCCAATAATTTTGCGCATTTGCGTGCCATCTTGACTTAAATGGATTTAGCCAAAATTTGATCAATTTGCACATTTATTCAAGATTTGTCTTGCTGTGTGGTAGTGGTAGCAAAAACATCAAAGAAAACAATTTTGTTGACTAAGTGTATAACAAAACAGTATTGAAACATGGCATTGTCAATCTTCATTATGATAGTCAAAATGCATTACTGGTCATTGCGATTTAATCGATGGGCTAATGGATAAAAACATTGATATTAGATTTCACTTTATCATACATGTATTTTTTGAAAAAAATATCAAGCTAATCAAGATTGACGATAAAATTAATCGATGTGATGCGCTGATCAAAATTATTCTTTTGTAAAGTTTTAATAGAGATTGCGTAACTATGCAAGTTTTGCAAAAATTAGATTTTCTTGTATAAATTACTGAGAGTAGCAAACCACATATTTTATTTCCTCATTTTGTTTGTTAGTAATAATGATGGATTCTTGTGTTTACTTTAACACATACACACATGCTTTTATTGATAACACTCTAAATTGTGTCAACAAGAACTTTTGTAAGACTTTTTATATAATGGCAGTTGAACTAAATTGTAACTGGAATCAAACCAACATGAATTAATTTCTAATATGTCTCACATCTTCATTTATGAATAGAATATGAAGAAGTTCAAGTGCATGGCAAAATATTGAGAAGTTGTCATCAAACTTAACAAGAAAACAGAATAGTTATCATATAATTAAAATTTATTGTATAGTTATGATGAAAGAAAACAAATTATACGAAGAGGTTACAATATGTTGTCATTGTCAATATTTATTGACGATGTTTATTAACAATATTTATTTCTGTTTATAAGATGAGATTGAAGACGCTAAAGTATAGGGTTGAGAATCAAGTCCAGTACATAAAACTTGGTATCACTAAGACCAATATATGATCAAAATATATATGATATCAGGTAAAGCGGAAAATATATACAAAGAAACCTCGATAATGAACCATGACAAACAGGGAATAGGGAATGATATAAAAGAGTAGAAGAGAAAAATGTGATTGTCAGAAAGAACTCTACTCTAGAGATATTAACTTTACGTAGGGTAAAGTTACGGCAATTCTTTAGTGTCATCATGATTTGAATGACATTAACCCGTTGATATTGTATAGTGTCTAAACATTACACGAGTGCACATATTTAGGCGGTCCATTTCCCTGTTGATGTCGTGAACACTAATTACGGAATTCTTTGAAGTTTATGATTTATAAAATGTGTAAATTCTGGCCTTGCAGTGCGTAGTATTCAATTGCGGTGATGTAGACAGTTCTGTAAATGCGACTTTGCTAAACATTGCAAAGCCCTACACCCCAAGGGCAAGTTTTACATGCTCGCAATTATTTGCTTGTTCCTACGAGGTGTTTGCGAACCCCGACCACGGATTTACTGTTTCCTTTCAAGGTCTATAAATCATGATTCTCAACATCAAGGGATCTTCGATTGCAGCATGTGTTGAGATTTTTCTTGAGTTTTGCGGAGCTGGGACAAGTTGACGATGACAGTTTCTTGAAGGTAAATTCGTATGTAGTTTGTGCTCATGCGATACAGATTTGGGTCGGCCGAATTCTGCGAATGTGTAGCCCACCTTGCCATCGTGTCTCCTCGTTGATGATTGCAACTGAGAATTCGGTGTTCTCGTGATCGGACGTGGATTTCAGATCCACTAATGTTCCGTGGGGTTTAAAAAGCATTGAACGGAGCTCGGCGATTTTGAGTGATTATCAGAGCGGGGAGTGCTGTGGTCCAGTTGTGATGGGAATTGGCTGCACTGGGGCTTATCGATTTTGCGTGCTTATTACAGGGGGAAGTGCTGTGGGTCAGTTGTGATGATAAGGGTCTGTGCTGTGGCTTATTATATTTTTTCGGCGTGCTTATTACGGAGGGGGAGTGCTTGTGGTTCAGTTGGGATGATAAGTGGATGCACAGGTGCTTATCGATTTTGCGTGCTTATTACAGGGGGAATGCTGTGGTCCAGTTGTGATGGGAAGTGGCTGTACTGGGGTAAATCGGTTTGGCGTGCTTATTAGAGGGCAGTGCTGCTTTTCTTTGTAATGAGAAGTGGTTGTGATGTTCAATCTGCAATTTGGAAATCACTTGCGATTTGCAATGCCTGATTCTGTTAGTCATTCTGGTGACTGCACAAATTTAACTCGTTTGGAGTGGCATTGTGTTCTCCTCAGTTCTGAGACCATCACTTATTGCCTGACATCTGGATGAGGCGTTTGATGCCGAGAGGCTGATCCAGCACCGCGGGAACTAGTTTCTCGACGTGTAAAACGATGGCTGGAGGTCAAGTGAAAAAGGTGATGATATGTTCGAAGATCTCTGCTTGCTTGTGTCGGTAGCATTGGAGTAGATTGGACGGATCGATTCATGTACTGCTTGTATGTTGAATGCTTTCAGGTTGCTTGTAGCAAACGATTTCAGCAAACTTTTTTGAAGAAAGTTTGAATGCAACCTCTACACGGCTCTCTGGACAGGAAATCCAATGAGGTTTTCGTTTTGATTATCTCAGTCTTGTAACATGCTGAAGGTCACACGTGCATCCTCGCAGATATGGGAGAAATTGCTCAGTCCGTTCAAACAGGTGGACAAACGACATCTTCAGCATGAAATTGATACATACCGTCTATATCTTTTAACCAGGTACCTATCCTCGTTTCTGTCCCCGTTGTTGCCTTTGTAGTCAATAACAGACGTTTACTTCTGGTCGGAGACCTTGTAAGAAGTAATTGATGGACGTCTAGAATATTAGCTCGTGACAACAATTTCTCAGGATTCTGTCTAAGTTTAAACTATTGATGGCCGTGACATCACAACAGAGAGTTGAGCGCCATGTGCCTATTGACTGTGTCTCCTTTTGATTCATTCCCAGTAAAACTTGATCAAGCCCAACCTATTCCATGTGTAGTATGACGGATGTCGACTCTTTGCTTTTATGTCGTCCTTTTATTAAATTGGAATTTACCAGCTACAATCGGTTAGGAGCTTCAGGAGGCGAGGAAGTGGCGAAGGAATTACAGTCCCTCGCAGACAGCACTGCTTTCACTGCTCAGCAGGCTGAGGTTCAGAATAATGTACATCAGCAGATTTCTGCTGTAGCTGAATTGCTGGATCAAGTCTTACTGATCAAATCGGCAAAGGATGAGGAGCCCTTGAAAAAGTCGCGGCCAAGCGGTTTGAGTTTTGCCGTTGGACATGCTCCTCCTAAAGTAGTCAGGTATGCGTACTCAAGCGGTTGTTTCAGCAAGTTATTCGCAAATGTACAGGGGAAGCAAAAATCATCACAAGGCAGAAGATAGTTTGTAAATGAAGCTTGCTCTTCATTTTGGTTCCATTAAAAGAAGTCGTTGACACATACATTGTTTCGAGTAGTTGAGTGATCTTCTAGTGCTTTGCTTCGCAGCATGAGGATGCAGCAACTGTTTAACTGTATGTAACCTGATGTGCTTATTGGCGCAGAGAAAAGACAGTTGAAACAAATCCTTTGAGCAGAGCAGAAGTTTCAAAGAAGTTCCACGAACGCTTTGGTTACAGTCTAGAATCAAAGCAGTCTGAAATCGACCATGTAGAAGCTGGCGAAGGTCTCTTCATCCGAGGAAGAGCAGAGCCCGGTACAGTTGTGTCATTGTATCCAGGGGTGATCTATGCACCCTCTCAATACCGGTTCATGCCCGGGTATCCAAGAGTAGACACGGGTAATCCATATTTGATTGCCAGGTACGACGGCCTGATACTGGATGGCAAGTCTTGGGGTAGAGGTGGTGACCAACGGGAATGGTGGGAAGGGGCCAACTCACACGAGTTAGATCCACCAGAATTATCAGCGGACAAGAGCTTGGATCACTCTAAGGCTGGAGATGGAAGACAGCGGATATGGGAGTCGGTTACAGGAGCTCAAAGACATGACGTTCCTATCGAGGGTGCTATACTTGAAAGACGAAACCCTTTGGCTTTTGGGCATTTTGCTAATCATCCTCCAAAGGATAAGAAGCCCAATGTTATGATTTGCTCGTACTCTGCTCCAGTCAGCAATCCACTGGTCAGGCCTTACATACCCAATGTTTTGGTTGGGTCGGAGGAGCAACAAATGGAGCGCCGAGGGTTGCTCTGGATAAAGGAGGGACGGTCAGATGATGACGACTTTGATGGCAAGCTAGGAAGACCTGAGATTCGTACTCTCGTTCTCGTGGCTACGAGGGCTCTCCAAGACGAAGAATTGCTGTTGAACTATAGGCTAAGCTCGTACATGAGAAGACCTGGATGGTATCATGCTGTCGATGAAGAAGAAGACAGAAGGAGGTGGGAGTAGATTGATAGTGCTCATAAGTTAACACTGGCAGATGCTTAAGGTCTAGCTGAAGCCATCGTCAGCAGCCTAGGGATAGAGTCCGTATTTCTCATTATTTCCGGCGCATGTTTATCGATCACCTCAAGATGTCCCCCTTTGCTGGCTTCTTCAAGTCGACAGGGGTTGTTCAAGCTTACCCCCTCTGTTTGTTGTCTTGTATGCACACGGATGATCATTCTAGAGACAGGCTTGCAATGTTGAGTAAAGGAAGATTTTGATGATGGCTCCCAGCACCATTGAGTTTACTGACTGACTTACTGGACGACAATTAGCTTCTGTGTTTGTCACTACAGATATTTCCGTTTTCTGATTTCGTTACTAGTGTCTTGATACCAGCGTTCTTCTCTGATCACGTTACCAGTTTAAGGCGAAGGTTATTTTGCACTAGTCTCCCTGTGTGATTTCAGCATCAAACGTAAACAGTGGCAATACGTTATAACTCTTATTCTTTTCACTTAAAGGAGGAGGCCTACCAAGAAGTCAAAACATACTCTACACACACATACATACTTGTGGCATAGGAGTTTGGTACAGAATTCTAAGTAAAATAAGAGTCTTTGGATAATATCAAAATCTTGGAGAAAACGGGTTGATGTAGATAGTTGTAGAGTGTACAAGTAATTGTTTTAATAATTGTTGTACTATTGGGATTTATCACTTCTTTCACCCCTCGGTATTCCCAGGCTTGTTGCTATATTACTTGGTGTCCCTTGTGTGTGACCATGTTGAAATGCACTTAGAGCTTGTATGCAACACGTCGTGAAATATTCATTGTTTGTTGAAGAGAAGCACGACAGAGATTGATCGACTCTATTTCCAGATTCAAGCTTAAGCTTGGTGGGCCAGGGCATTCTAACGTCTTTCACACACAACGAAATGGAAAAATGAGCGGTTCTGATTTTATTTTTTTGGTCTTGTTTCGTACGTGGTTCTGGTTTGTGGCTTCTGCTTTCGCACGTTGGGAAGAAATGCTCGATTAAAACGATAACATATGGCATTATAAATAGAACTCTTGTATCTAAGTGCGAAGATTCTATGCAGAGTAACCTGGCTTAGCCCTATGAATGACATCATTCAAAGTGTAAGGGCTCTTCCTGTGCCTTAACAATTGTCACCTGCTAAGATTTCATCATAGTTCTCCTCTAGCAGCTTGATTTGAAGGAAACGTACATCGCAATCCGGCACTTTAATCCTTATATTCAAGTTTATAAGTATATGCACGTCGATCATTAGTACAAGCCGATGGCCGAGCCAGAGGAGATGGAATACGCGTACCTATTGCATGTACACACAGAAACAAGCTCTGCATTCAAATTGCAGTTGATGAGGTTTTGTACCATATAGGATCCTGAAAGCGTACAAGGAAAGAGGGCCCAATTGATGGACAAAAACTGGAAAATCCATAAAGTTCTGAAAGCATGAGACGAAGGGAATCATGGGCCAGGTTCCGATAATTTTGAAGTGAGAAAGTGTCCCATACAATAATACAACCTGCAGGAAGTGAAGAAAAATAACAAAGAGTATGGCAACTTTTGTTCGGACATGGATGAAACCAAAAATTAGCGTGGGACTGGTCACATTAACATGAAAGTGGGAAATATGGACCCTTGCATCCACGATATGTAATTTTTAGTAAGTAATATTGATTGTCTAGAGCATCTTGAGAAGCAAAACCACGTCTGTTGTAGAAGCTTGCTGATCGGTACATAGAAAAATAATTCGTGAGGTTTATCGAGTCTCAATGGGATCCGAGTCAAAATTATTTGCTCCTGCTCCAGTTGAGTCGAAACTCCGGAATCGAATGGGGGGAATTGCGATGATTGTGAACGACTACTGCTTCATGGTGGAGGCTTTATGCGCTTCGATTAGCCGTGAATTTCAAACACTGCGTGAGCTGGAAGACGTTTTTCACGAGGATTTCTGGAGGCATCAGGCTGAGTAAGACGAAAGGCTCGTTCTCGTGGTTTCGCCTTAAGGATTGTGGATCGAAAGCGCACTTTGCGATTTGAGTTTTGCATTTCGAATTGTGGTACACGCACATCATTTTCATCTGTCCGCTGGGTCTGTAGTTTTTCGTTTATGTTACCTTGGGCCTCCTTCAGGTTATCTCTGCGAGTGTCTGATGGCGCACATGCTTTCTTTGTGGGTCCTAATTCCCTGTCGAGTAATCTTGCTCAGGGAGAATTTAAATTGCTAACTCTGTTGCACGAGTCGAACTTTTAGGAATTTCGGGTTGAATTGCAGCTCAATGTTCTGAGGTCGACTTGTTCAGAGTTGCTTCTCGGATTTCTGGCCTTCTTCAGGGGTATTATGCAGTGAGGAAGTTGTTTTGGGGCAGCCGTACCATGCTGTGATCTTGATTGGGTCGTTTGTGGCCTGGATGAAGCTCATACTTTCCAACCGTAAAATCCCCCGTTGTGCTTGTGACACAATTTCTTCCCGTCATCTGCTTTTCTGTTCCCGCGTTTCCCTTTCTCTTGGTACCATGTGCCGGAAATCGACTGTCCGTTTGCTTTTCATTTCCTGATGTTTTGATCCCAGCTTTTTTCAATCTGCTCTTTACAGTTTTCGATCTGTCCTGTGCACCTTGAATATCTGCCAATATTGTATCTTCATGTAAGTTCTTGGAGAGTGCTGCTCTACTTTTTAAATTTTTATTTTCTCTGTATGTTTATCTGATTGCACCGTCCAGCCTGGAAGCAGGATCTACGAGTTTAGGCTATGAGGGAAAATTCAAATGGGTAGTCTTTATCTGATTGATGAAGGCTTCTAAAGTTGCTAGCACTCGGAATCTGACATACGTAGCTCAACCAGCTTGCATCGATGTAGAACAAACGACACAGTATTCAAGGTCATACCACAAATTTCTGCTGTTTGCTGCTTAGAAAATCGTTTGCAAACTTTTCAGCTGACTTGTTTATTTTACAATTTCTTCTCCTATTTTCTCCGCTACTGAGGAATTGGTGACATTGTACTCTCGTATGGCTGATGATGTAAAATCTCACTGTATGTACTGGGGTTTACCTTTTTGGAAGAGATGAGGACGGAGTAATGCCCAGTTGTCTCCCTGTTTCTTGTGTTGACTCTTCTACTCATGGTCTATATCAGTCAGAGCATACCCGCAGCCTTTCACTAGAATGTTGTCTCTAATTAGACACGAGTTCTACAGCGGGTGTTTTCTGCAGTGGTGAAAATCAATAATTTTGTATGTTCATATATTCGTCCTGGCACATGCCGGAAATCCTCTACATTTTAGCTCCCTATCTGAAGGCTTACAAGTGGTTCCCCTTTTATTGCTTTTATATGATTTTTACGTCGTTGACTTCTTTCGGCAACCAGCGGAAGACAGACGTGCACATCTTACTTTAGAGCACCGTCACTGGTGTCATTTCTACACTTCAGTTAGCATTGACTAACCCAGGTTTCTATCTGCAGGTAGAACTAGCGTTTAGAAAGATGGGAGATTCTAAAGAACGAAGAGTTCGCTGGAAGGGCCGACATGCTTGCGAAACTGCTCTTTCAGACCCAATGTCTGCGATTTACAGTGCCATCAAAGCGTGGACACCTCCAAGCGGGATGTTTGCGGATTCTGCCGTATTACTGCAGGTGAATTCGGAGCAAGCTCAACTACTCAATCGCGCATGTTTTGGTCGGCCCTACCCACCTGCGATTGCACCACCGCCGCCCTCTGCACCCACTTGTAATGCCCCAAAGCGACTCACAACCTTATAACATTCATACTGGCGTATGAATGTTATAAGGTTGTGAGTCGCTCTTATATGTTTCTATCATTCTTGTTCTCTTGCGTTTTGATGAAGTTAAAACCGGTGTACGCAAAGAATCTCTCATACGATATCGATTCAGGTCATCTGGAGCTGGATCTACAGCAGATAACCTTTGATAGTTGTCCTTAATTATGGACTATAGATCATCATAAAGTACATGCCTTTCAGGGGTGGGGCTGATTCTTTGTTTGTTTATTGAAGATCCACCTCCGATCCCAGGATTCGATGATTCAGATTCGAAAGAAGGCTTGCAGTTTTTCCAGCTCGCTTTGGAGGAGGCCTTTTATCTCAACTATGAAATGAAGTGCGTAAGAATCTATCATCAATCACATAAGGTGAATATGTGCACCTACTTCTTCAATCTTTTATGTGAAGTTACTTTTAGTTTCTAACTAAGTCGGACTCTTCATGACGAAATGATAAAGGACGTGTACCTGCTGGAAGCTGATAAAGCAGGACATCAGCATATAGTGAAAAACCCAAAGATTACTGGACAAACGTGCTGAGAGTCAAGTTCTGCTTGCCTCATTTCTGATGCGGCTTTTGGTTGAGGGTGTTGTCTTAGTAGAGTCGTGGATATGATGCAGGAGGAGAGGGTATTACTGAGCCATGACGAGCTTTGGAGACTGATGCTGAAGAAAAAGCAGCATTTCGTCCAACATTACAAGGCGTACTCCCACATGCGCTCCAAGAGATGGGTCGTTCTCTCTGGCATCCAGTTTGGTGCTGATTTCATGGCATACCGTCATCATCCAGCCTTGGTTCACTCTGAGTATGTACATCGAGAATGAATATTTCCGACAGCAGTTTCAGGATGACAATAAGAGTCAGCAGCATTATATACTGTACACAACTTTCTCATGTGATAGAGTTAGATGAATGCCATACACCACGTGACAGTAATCATACTCTAGTTAGTATCTAACTAGTAACCACTACGGCCCTGCATACAACAATAACGGCCGTGATGCATCCAAGTTTCTAGTTTTTCAGTCAGTCTTCAGTTAGAATGATATAAACGTCAGTGAGTTCATGTTGACACCTAAGAACAATTTCGAACGCTTTTTACTTGCCCAGAAACGGGGACTTGTTTTTTAGTTCTGTGCTCTTCAGTGTGAAATGTTTTAAAAACGGGCCAACGCTCTGTGCTATGTGTTGCTTCGTTTGCCACTTTTTCAAAGCAAAGAAGTTGAGATGGCATCTGATGTAAGCAATCGGCTGTGTTGCAGTTATGCCGTGTTGGTCATGTTAGGAGAGGAAAGGCAGTCGAGACTTAATACTTGGACGGAGTTGCATGCAATGGGCCGGTTGTGTGGCAGTGTTGCCAAGGTATATTCGTCTTTGTTGCTGATTAACGTTTCCAGACAATCGATGTATCAGTTTGACGCGTTTATCCGACTATACTGAAGACTATGGCCTTTTATGAGAATTCGTCAACAGAATATCGCAATTTCATTATAAATAAAGTGTCTTTCTGGCATTCAAGCTCAACTTCATATTACTAGTCCGATATTCTAATCGCTTTTCTTTTATTTTTGTTTCTACGTAATTGCAGACTTTACTATTGATCTATGTTAAACGCAAAGATGCTGCGGTGGACTCCACATTTCCTTCGTGTCTTGAGGATTTTGATTTGGAAACAGTGGAGGTAAACCGATGGCTACCGGAGAAGAATCGGGAGGCTGGTGAAACTTTAGAAGAAAATTCTGAATTGGGCTGAAAATAATTTTCTGTTGGAAGATGCTAGAGGAGCTGCCTTAATCCAGATGTTTAATGGACATCGACTCTGTGCTGAATATGTACCTTGGGCTTTACCCGGCTGTATCATGTCTTCCTGCACACATTTGCCAATGAGTAAGTACTATCACATTCCCTGCACATCTAGAGAGAACCGTTTGCTTCTGTCGACACCTAGTGTTACGCGATATCTGCTGTATCCATTGCAGGCTTTTCTAAGAGTAGCTCTGTTTCCTCCTCATTCCTCTGGTTCAGTTTGCCTCTCTTCTCTAGTTCTCTTCTTAGAGAGATTTACATGCTACAAGAAGCTTTTACTCTCTATGGCTGGATCAGTCTTTAATTCTTGTATCATGCGTGGTTAAGTGTCACTTCATTCCATACTTTCGCCCCTTGCATGCCTGCCTTTTCTCCTCCCTTTTCTTTGACAAATTTGGCCGCAATCTCTTGGTGGAATCACAAAGAGAGTTTTGCTGATCACTCGGAAGGCACTAAACTTCCTTGCCATTGTACATAGCTCCGCTCACTTTTATAGACTCTTGGATCATATCGGCCCATGATCCAGTGGGATGTATCCAGCAACAGCAGCAAGTGTGAAGATTAAGTTTATGTGTGGGACTACAGGGTTCGTAGACATAGCGAGGACATGATCCTGAACAAAAGATATATACTTAACTTCTAAGAATTCCTCAGTCACCTACAAGCCGGGTGAATCGTTATCACTGAAATTGTCATTTTCGGAATTGTAGACTGGACAGTGATAAGGCCCGGAAGAAGTATAGAGTATGTGAAAATACCATATATAGCTTGATACGTTTTGTTTCTAAGATGGTGCACATCGCCCAGGTATACTCGGGATGTAACTTTGTCACATGTTTTTCCCCCATACAGAGGTGTGTAATAGGTCTGTAGTTGGGGAAATAACATGTGAGATTGTCCGGCGATCCTATCAGCTCATACCTTCTCGCAAGACTCGGCTCTGACCTTCCTGCCTAAACAGTTCAATTGGGCTCGACCCGCTACAAGCAACAGACATGCTAGCTTCGCAAGTTTGAAGGACCTCAAAAAGGTAAAACTTTTGAGTTCATGTTGTCATGAATCTGAACACATGCAGCTTTTATGAACGTAGTTACTGATCCCGTTGCAAGTTACCTTTTGAATTCGCTTGTTTAAAAGATAAGATGTTCTGTCAAATAAATTCCGAGGCCTGGAAGGGAGTAGTTGGCTGTGTATCATGCACATCATCTCTAAGGCATGCACCTTCCATAAGTTCGAATTTATTACTCGGGGCAGAGGTTCTTCGTTTGACATTGAACAGCTGAAGGACAACCTTGAATGTTTTCTACGAGCTTCGAGCTCTTCTGCATTTCGAACTTAGACCAGGACGAGGTAAAAAGCTTGTTGCATCCTGAATAGCATCGTCGGTCGTGGGTCTGGAATGCGAGTTTTGCAGCACAGTCATGGTCGTCTGACATTTGCCATTAGGATCCCGGTATTTCAAATTCAGTGAACAGCCGCGTGCTTCTTACTGATCCTACACGCCCTTATAGATGGAGGATCCATCAACGTAACAATCGGTCAAAGACATTTGACACTCCTGAACTCAAGACAAACAATGAAATATTGTCAACGATGGTCGAGAGCTCCACAGCCTCCCGAGCTGTCACATTTCCGATCAACATGTTCCATCAGGACAGTCGCTGTTACAGTGAACTGTACCCTTATTTACACCCCTTTGAGCCATGATACAACTTTTCTTCCTGGGCGTATTGAACAGTCCCTTTACTGACTCAATCATGTCTTTGTTCATGATGAGAACGCGCAGTGAGAAAGAAATATTCCCAGGGTTAGCTGTAGAAATGAGGGTCTCCAAAGACTAAAAGGATTGAACTTCGCAATCTTACGAATTCTGTTAGTGGCAGTGTACTGAATCACTTTCACCGTCTGACTGATAGGTGCACTTAGAGGTGGATTGTTTACAGGCGGGGCTTCTCGTAGCGCTTTGAGCGTCGAGCCCGTTTTGTGTAGCAGCAACGATGGGCGGAGAACAAGAATGGAAGCCGGGTGGCATGAAGAGAAGAAGAGAGAGATGGTCGTCGCGCATGGCTCGAACCTGCAGGTCTGCAAGCTCCGTCGTCGGGTGTCTTTACTACGCGGTCCTTGCATAGCACTGTGTTGGGTCGCGCATGTCTGGACTCGCGCTGTCTTCCTTCCTCGCGAGGCAAATTGTCGACGATGTGAGAGTGCCCATTACGTTCTGCCGACAGTAAGCCAAGCTTTTGTTGGCGCACGTGAGATCTTAGGCCTGGGAGGATAGTGATACGTAGAAGGGCTGTTGACTGGCTCGGGCTTGCAGTGCTCACTTTGGATGAGACAGGAAGTTGGTAATAAAGTTCTGGAAACCAACCAACATGTAATTTGCTTGGAATTGTCGGTGGTTAATGCTACCATCGAACATGCGTCAGATGAAGTTCATGCATGCGAGTGACATCGTGGAAACACGCCCGAAGGGCGACCGCGAGAGCTTGTATGGAAGTTTCCCCAGCGCCACCGAACTTCTTCGATCAGGCCCGACCGCCCACGGAACCGAGCCTGGGCATGAGCCACGCCGAGACAGGAAAAATCTAAAAGAGTCCAGCCACGGTTCTCAACAGCAAAGGGCTTGCACACACCAAATAAGGCTCTCCGGAAGAGATCGTGTTGGACTCGAAACCGATGACCATCTTCCGATGCGAGGGGTGAAAGAAAGAGCTGACGACGATCACGCGCGAGATGCCCTCGAGGATCACGATCGCGATCGCGGTCACGGAAGGTCTTGCTCGTATCATGTAGGCTCGTGATGAGTTGCGCCATGGTAGATCTGGTTTGTCTTGCGTTCAAGATAGAAGCGCACGGCAGGCACAGTGTGCGCTCCATGTAAAAGTCAGGCCGGCTTGAGTCTAGCGGTGTTCTTATCCTCGACATCTGGAAATGGCGGAAGATCGCTACGACCAAGCATCAATTATGAATTCTGAGGCATCCGATCCCTTTTCTGTTCAAAGGCTGTGAGCACCGATGTTCTTCCCTGCCAAAGCACCATCTGACATCTGACCACCTGGCCATATGATCCTGCTGAGTGGGATTTATTGCAAGTGGATGCAGTATTGTGGGCGTGAATTCGAGCCCTGCCGATCACTCCGTCGGCCCGAACTTCAACTTTACCAGTTCTGTGCAGACACCTCGTAGAGTGAACCGTCCGCCCTTAAATGGGGATGACGAGCCCTCGCCTGAGCACGAAAGATCTGGAAGGCACGCATTGTTGGAGCCGGCCATGCGGCTGGAAGATGCAAGTCCTCTCGGTCTGGCGTGTCGATCTTGCGCGTTGTTTTGCGCAGTGTTCAGCGGTCCATGGCGGAAACAGTCGCCGTGCCGAGTGAAATCTGTGCCTGGACCGAAGCAAGGCCATAGAACTTGGCCGTGATCAGCTGCCAAGCTCGGGTCGGGTCGGCTCGGTTCAGCTGTCGGGGCGGGAGGAGGAGGAGGAGGAGGGAGTGGCGCAGTTGTGCCCGAGAGAAGACGACAGCAGTGAAAGCTTTTGGAGCGTGTAACTGGAAATTAAGAGGGGCGTCGCGAGACAGACATGCTGTGAGGTCGAAGGCACGTACAAGGCGAAAAGCCCATCTCGCGTCCTTAATTGCACCGGACATGAATCGAAATCTGCGGATTCGCTCTCGGCGCAGAAGATTTGGAAGCCTCCACTGCAGCAAGCGCTGGAAAGCTCGGAAAAACAGTGGCCCGAGCGAGGCCCGAGCGAGGCCAAGTGCATGCTGCCGGGCAAATGAGTCGCAGGATCCTGGAATGGGCGAGCGCGAGTTCTTCAGGTACTTCAGGGAAAAGGTGGTGGTTTGCGATGTGCAGAGTCACCAATGTGAGTAATTGCTCGGTTGGTAGACTTCCGACCAGGAGAGAAGGCGGTAAAGAAACAGTAGTTGATGGATGGCGAATCACCCGCATCAAGGATATGGGAAACGACACGTAGAGGGATGTTTGACAGCTTTATCTGGCTTCCATAGATTCTTTTTGTTAGCTGCTACCGGAGTCGATAAATCGATGTATTGATGGAAAAGCAGGGGAATCAGAATAGGATCTCCTTTTGTCTCGAGAAGTTAATTGCGTGGACCAAATCCGGAGAGTTGGACTCTAAAGTACTGCCATATTGATGGGAGAGGGAATCAAATTCCCGCAGGAGTTTCGGCTCCATCAAACCTCCCACACTCACTGTCGAGCGAGTCATCCATCCTCTGCGCTACGTGGTGACCCCGCCGGCTCCTCCCCGGCCCTACCCCCGGCGACATGCGTTCCACATCTGCCATCTCCCAACGGCACGAGCTCGAGAGCGCAATTCTTCGATCCTCTCTGATTCGAGCCCTGCCTGCCTGCCTCCCTGCCTGCCTGCCCGTCCTGACCTGGCCTGCTGCTGCTGCTCGTTCGTTCGAGGGCTCGAGCAGTGAGAGCACTCGCTGCCGAGCTTTTCAGCTCAGACAGGGCGCCAGGGACCGGGCACGGGCCTCGGGCCACTGGGGGCCAGGCACCCACAACATTGTTGCCACTATTGTTGGCATGACAATGCTTTCTGTAGTAAGTAAGTCCGTTTCTGGTACTACAAGTAGCCGTCGAGAATCTGCGTACCATGCCGGGGGCCAGGCCCGCGCTACTGTAGTCTCGAGCCGAGGCCAGAGCCGTCCCGTAGTCATTCTCATTACGCTTTTCTGGTACAGCAGCATGAATTCTTGAGGCCAGGGTATAACTGCTCATACGAGAGCGTGTAGTGTAGCTTTGGTGCCAACCATCCCTCCCACTAATGGACGCCCCGCATGCAAGAAGTGGATAAGGGACGGGGCGAGGCTCGTCCGAAGCCTGCCTCCCTTCCTCGCTCGCTCGCTCCCTTCCTTCCTCCCTCTCCCTGGATCCCCTTCGCATCATGTGCTGTCCTTGCGGAGCTACGGTGGGCGATGCGATGCGATGGTGGGTCTGACCTCCTACCTTGTCCGCCATGATGTTCGCCCATCTTTACCGTCGTAGCCCCGTGCTCCATCGCCAGTCCCCGTCCTCTACGTGTAGCCCTGTTGCCGCTGCTCAGCCCCTCAGCCCCTCAGGCTCAGAGTCTGGGAGTTGCAAGCAAGCAAAAGCAGCTGTTCGTGCACTCGCCCTGCTCTCTGCCCCTCTCTCCTCTGCCCCTCTAAGCTCTGCACGAAAGGAAACGCACGGCAATGGAAGGAAACGAAAGGAAATTCCCGAATGTCGACTGCCAATTTTTTAATTGGCAGCCAGCGAGATCGGGGGAGGGGGTAAAGTACATCGAGTGTGCTTGCTCGTTGGGAAGCTACGAGCGAGTCCCGAGGGGCCGAGGGGCCGAGGCTCGAGGGAGGGGGGGCGGGGGCTAAGGTGGTACTACTCGCTCTGATGATGGGCGAGCTTCTTTTTGCGAACCCAGCCGAGATACGTCCACGGCCTGCGGACTCACGTGTAACGCCAAACGATCTTACGCATGCGGGGGCTCGTTGAATCATGCCCCCATGTGTTTTAACAGACCCAAAAGCCTGCAAGAGCCCGCAACTGACCATATGCCTCTATATAGATCGGCCCCCCTCCCTTCTCAGAGTGGAAGCTCCGCCTCCTCTTTGTTCTTCTTCGTCGTTACGAGCCTCTCCATCACCAAAAGCCTTTCGTACGAAGATTGAATTCCCGTGTGAGCGATCGTAGGCACTTGATGCGCTAGACTCTCTCTCTCTCTCCCTCTCTTTCTCTCTCTCTCATTCACTCACTCACTACAGTGGTCGGTTATAAACCGCCCTGCAGAGCTTTTTCCTTTCCAGTTGCGAAATTCAATTCTAGAAATCGAGTGAATGCGAATTTCGATTGCAGGCCTAGCTTTCTGGATAGAGGCGTAATAATGTAGAGATTTGCAGAGATACGAAGTCTGGGTAAATAAAGGGAAAAAAATCTGCAGGAAGTGCATGTTGGAGTGGGGCAATGAACCCACTCCTCGGCTTGTGACATTGCGCGTGTCGGATGAGTGAGGCAGCTCCTCACGTCTGGGAGGGAACTCGATGTTCGGTGTACATAGATGCGAGCTCGTGACGTGCGGCCTACATCACAAGTCAAAGATGACATTTCTGTGCGTCGTACATGAGCACCAACGTACCCGAAAACCTTCATGCCAAAGACACGCAACGAACACGATCAGACGACGATGCCATCCCATTTGAAGATTCTGTGAGCGCTGAAATCGCCCTGACCCACCTCTTGACTGGCCAGCCAGTCAGTCCGTCGCTCAAGAGCTTCTCTATCGACGTGCCCTTCATTGCCATAGATGAAGATTCTGTCATAAGTGATGCCCGTGCTCAAATCTCCGGACATGAAACATTTGACGCTAATTTCTGTCCCTCGCCTCGCGGATGGGGCAGCAGTCAGTGGTTAAGGATCGAACGATAAGGTTTCATGTTGCCAGCATCTAAATATGCGGACTTTCAACACGATATTGTTTCGGAATTCGGCAAGCAACATTCGAAAGAATTTGGACGTGGGAATTCCACACGCACTAGGGAATGACGCACACGACCCACTTCCGACGAAAACGCCATAACTCGAAGCAGATAAAGTGCACGCAAGCGGCAATCACTGCAACGATCGCGAGCACGTAGAGTGGAAGGAAGGAAGCTGGGAGAGAAAGAAAGAGAGAAAGTCCAGGCCGCGGAAACCTGGAAACTTCAAGTGATGCGAGCCCATCACAAGACACTACAACAACAGCAACGAAAACGAATCAAGGTACGAGGTTCGGAGTTCGAGGCTCAAAAGTGGTGTTTTTCTTACATGGAGCATGCACACGATCAGGTGGAGTACGGATCGGTACTTGCAAATTGTCAACAGCTAAGGGGAATAATTCGGAGGACCCACTCAAGCGCAAGTGAGCCTGCCGAGCCCCTGCTCGATATGGCTTCAGGTATTTGAGTGTGGACCCACCAGAAAGCCCGGAGAGCCACGGGAATGGCCCCCAAGGTAGCAACGCCCCCGCAGGCACCAGTGCATCGACAAGGGAAGGGAAGGGGAAGCCAGGAAAGGTGAGCAGGAAGGAAGAAGGGAGGAAGGGAGGAAGGAAGGATGGGGCATGTCGATCTGAGGTCGGTCAGCACCTGGGGCTGGGTTGCAGAGGAACGGGAAAGAATCAAGTACGAACAACAGGAAAGCGGAAAGGGGAAAATTGATTTGAAACCGCGGATTGCAGTGAGCTACTTCATCTTTAAAGGCGACGAACTTTTAGTCTTTTATCTGTTCACGTACATTCGGCCCAGCGAGAAAGGCTGTGGAGCTCTGTAGTCGTACGACCGACTCGGCTATACACGTATAATAGGGTCGAGGTGCTTTAGTGCATGTGACAAACTTCCGGATGGGGGGATGTGAGTGCAGCTGCGGGCGGTACATCTGACTCACTCGTATTATGGGGGCATTTATCTGCGCTCGTATGGCCGAGCTTTTTCGCTTGTGGGTATCAGTGAAACGCATGGCCCGTTCGGACGATCTTGTCGTCACCGGTCGCACTCTCGTCTCACTTTGTCATGGCTTTGTTCATGGTGCACAGTGGGCCAGCCACCCTGCCCAGCCGCGACCATCACTCGGATCGTGAACGTTTAACTCGTCGAGTGAGATCCAGTGAGCTGCAGATCCTAAAGCCATGGCAGCAGGAGATTGCGCCCCCCATCCCTCCTGCCCTCTCCTTCTCTCTCCCCCAGTGAGAAGGAGAGAGAGAGAATGTGGAATCACTATTGAGTGAGTGTCTGAGTCGAGGAGAGATGGGGGAGGAGAGAGAGAGAGAGGAAGAGATAGAAAACGTTCGTACGGTGGTAGCAGGGGGGGAAGGGGGGAGGATGAGGAATTGGTAGTCGAGAGTGATGTATATTAGTTACGGTTCAGATGGAGAGCTCCGGGGGGCAGAGGGTGAATAAGAAAGAGTTTCAGATGGAGATTTTGGTTCGAGTGTGAACCACCCACTGCAACACAGGCAGGCAGGCAGGCAGGCAGGCAGGCAGCAGGTGGGCAGCAGGCACAGAGACAGTGGACAGGGCCTGGCTTGATTGTGGTCATGGTTCGTAGTCGCTCTGGGGTCAAACGTCGGGGGCGAAGATGACGCAGGAGGACGAAAGTCCTCAGAATCAAATGTTAGCCCACATAGTGCAGATGGAGTTTGTACACGGCACATGAAGGCCGATTTGAATGTCGTGACTTGAATGAGGGCACTGGCTGTAGTGTTTCCACTCAATCAACGAGTGAAGATGACGCCCATTACTAGTGGACAATGATAACAGTATGGGTGTTTTGTGGACTAGTTCGCTCACAAAAGTTGTAAAGGTCACACCAAAAGAGTTGATAAAGACGAACAGTCTTTCGGCCAGTTGTCAAGCAGGTAATTTTGTAAAGCTTGAGCACTTGAGAGTGTTGATACACTGCTCAAGATTCTCCTTATTAATTTCCCGGGGAAGAAATTTATAGGCTCATCATCCTCTTTTCTTCTGTCCTCTCCTCTCCTCGTCTTTTCTCGAATCGAAGATGAAATGTTCATGATCAGTCTCCCAGACCATTATTCTCGTTATAAAACTGAAAAGCCCCGCATGTAATAAAAATTAACCCCCGCGGTGTACCAAACTTCTTTTATTTCATGCTCAACAGTACGCTCTGCAGTATCATGACCGATGCTTGTACTCGCAGTCTGAAGCTTTGGCGTACAACAATCACATTACACTACAAACCTCCACCGTTCACCTCATGGACTTGTGAACTGGACGCGCACAATCCCCGCTGCTCTGAACTCAAAACATTCCCCCATAGGACGAGCTCCAAAGAGACGAGCATGTGCAGCCTAGCTCGAATTAGATCTGGTTCAGCCTCGCCACAAAAGGTCCGTGAGCCTTCCCGTTCTGGGAGGACAGGAACTCACTCCGCGGAGCTGTGATCGAATCTTCCATTCGAGAGAGACGGGCATGTGATGATCAGGCCAGCGCAACAGCAAAGCTGCTGCCACCAATAGGCAAGGACAGCTCGCATTGGATCATGGGCGATGCATGAGAGAGCTTCTTTGTGTCTTTGACCTAGAGCAGAGTGAGTAGAGATGAGCTGCACTGCTGAGCATAGGGGTGGGCATGGTCGGTCTAAGTCTTTGACGGATGGGCACATCGTCGCGGCATTTACAAAGTTCAAGCCTCGCCAGGACCCGGGGCATTGACACCTCGTTTCCAGATGGCCACAGTCTTCTGCAGTTGTTGCTACTGGAGGTGGACCTGACCTTCAGCACTCTGACCACGATGCGGAAAATGTCACTCCCACCTCAAAGCCATGGTTTCGATCACTCAGAAGTATTTGTCAAAGTAGAGCAAATCGTCAGAGGCCAAAGGCTCCAAGTCATGGCCCAACCTTTGAAATCACTAATGCACATCACCACCCGTCTCTGCTGATCAAATGCACCACGACCGCTTCCGTCTCCGGTCCAGCCAAGACATAATCGCTTGACCGAAGATTTGCTGCGTCCTCTCGGCAGCTAGTCAGTGGTTAATGGGGGAGGAAAGATTCCAATTTTTTTTGCACCGGGGACATTAAGAATTGCTTGACTGGCGAGTACCAACATTCTGATTGAGAGTACCAACCGAATCATGCCATTGGATTCATGCCCACATGCGCACAACTGCTCCCCTGATTGAAAGATAGCTTGCAATATTGCGCCTAGTGGTCACAATGCGCCCTCGTTGGGAGCTTGACTCTGAACCGGGAGACATAACTCCTGCTCCTCGTTACATATTAATGTCCTATAAGTAAATGTCCTGACCGACCACATGTGCCAATCTTCGCTCTGTTTTCTGGCTTCTGCGCTTGATTGAGATTCATCATTCAATGTCTGCAATTTCATTTTCATTTGCTGGAATATTAGGTGGCTTCTCCTTCGGGATTATTGAGGCACTATTGAACGAATTTTAAAGCTTTGACACCAGAACTCACGAAGAGGCTTCAGCAGTCGACACGAAGGGCAGTTTGTACACGAGGAGATGACCTTCGATGCAATCGCCTCCAAACTAGCACTGGAAGAGGTGGCTGGGAAGGGAAGCTCACGCTGTCATGTAGTCGTAAGTACAACCTATTCTCATGCCCGGACGTAGGCTTGATAACTCTCGTCTCGCCTCGTCTGAGTCCTCTCCTACTATTGAGGAGAGGCGAGTTATCATGTCTGTGCGGGCAAGGGGAGGCAGGACTAGGACTAAAGTCTAGTTTTCTGAAGGAATATAAACGTACCACGCATAATGCACCTTCATTTGCCTACTTTTTCACTGCCTCAATCAGTCGTCGAGGACAAGCACTTGAGTTCTGGCTGAATGAATGAGCTTCCTATAAGTTGCAAGGCGCATGAGGCTCAACTCGGGTACATGACCTCTAATTAGCAAGGCCTCGTGTCCAGAAGTGCACTTGACTTGTTCTGAGTTCGAATCCGAGCCATACTGATCAAACGTACAAGGAAAAGATGGACAGAGAAGAGGAGGAGGAGCAGCAGCAGCAGCACAAGTAGAAGACAGAGAAAATTGAGCTCGCAATGTTCGCTTTTGTCTGTGGGAGAGAGGGAGGGTCGGAATAAACAAGTACCACTGATCGAAAACGCTCAGGTCACAGTGAAGAGATTCCTTCCTTTTTGCTCTACGACCTCACCTCCTGCTGCCGCTGCTGCTGCTCCTCCTGACCAAACAACCCAATAAACCCCCGTCAACGAGCCAGCCTTGATAATAAATGCTTTCGTCTTGTCTTCTTTACCCTTCTCTTTACGTCACTACTACAAGTCTGTTCTCGAGAGCGAGTAAGCAAATGACTTGGACCCGGAGGGAGCATGGGCATGGGCCTGGGCTGGCTGGCCTGGGCTGGTCTGGCCAGACCTGACCCACCGTGATGTCATCTGATCTGAAGCTTTGAACTGAACCGCAACTGAAGGTCTCTCACTTACTGGCGCTGATGGAGGAGGCATTGAAGCAAGTCCATTAGTCCCACCGACCTGCCTATTCCTAATCATACGTACCTCGCAACTAAACCCCAATTAACATCACTGCCTCAAACCATCAAAAGTACCTGCTGCTAAGTTCAGTTCAGTTAGGTTCTGTTCTTTTGATTGACATTGACATTGACTGACTGACGGCCTGCCTGCTGAATGCCTGACTGACTGAATGAATGAATAGAAAGAAAGATGGATAGGGATAGATGCCTTCCTATCTGCTGGGCTGTGCACTTTGTGAGAGGGAGGGAGCCGGGGATTGATTATTAGATACCTCCTTATCCTCTCGTCTTTCATGCCCACTGTTGGTACGGAGCCAAAAGAAATCCGTTAAAAAAATGCAGAGCAAAGTAAAGAGTGATAGGTACTTGGGATCCAACCACAACGAGAAGGGATATGTTTAGAAGGAGTTGGTACTCGATACGTCAATGCACGAAATTTGTACGAAGCCAGTCCTGATTGAATAAGTCGGACCTCATATTTTGCTCTCTATTTTATTATTTCTCGCCTTCTCCTGGCTTTTCGTCGCCTTTCTTTAGTCGGACGTGATTCAAAACGG